CCCAATTTAGCTACTAAGATGCACCCTAAACCGTAAACCGTTGTTTTTGCGGGCAACCGGGCCACGACTGCCAAGAAAAGCACAGAACTCAGCCATGGCCGCAACCCTGCAACCCTAAACCCTGAACCCTAAACCCTAAATCCTAAACCCTAAACCCTAAACCCTAAATCCTAAACCCTAAATCCGAACCCCTAAGCCCAAGGGGCTCTTCCGGATGCCAGTCGTAGGAGATGACGACCAAATCAAAGTCGTCTCGGATCTGGTTGATAATTGGCACCTCGAGAACACTTTTTTTTGTCCTAAACCTTCAGAACCCTAGCCCTAAACCCTAAACCCTAAACCCTGAAAAACCTCCCATACAAACAACTTCGGAGGCTACAACCGGGAAATTTCTGAAACGCCCACCACCCTGCATGTCCAACAACCATGCAGGGGGGGGGGGGGGATGTGTCGCATTTGTTATTTGATCGTTTTTTGGGACCCCTTGTTGCAGAACTGGTTCATGAAAAAGGTAACGTCTCCTCGAAAACGTCAAACACATATGGGAGTTTGCGAAGACAAGGGACGTTCTAAAATAGACCAAATGGTAAGATTCCCTTTATAAAGGTCCCCAATAAGGTACCCCTATTCTCGGAAACCCCCATATATATCCAACCATGGTCTGAAGTCTGGTCTGGGCTGTTGCCTCTAACTTGCAGGGCTTGGTTGCAGGTTGCTGCGCATGGGCTGAGGCAAATCTAGCCCAGGTTCCAGACGATCGGATAAGGCCTTCTTGGCAAGGAACAAGGTGTGCGTGTGTGGAGGGTGGGCGTGTGTGGTGTGTGTGTGTGTGTGTGAGAGAGTGAGTGAGTGTGGGTGGGTGTGTGTGGGTGCTGAGGATGAAGAAAAGAGCGAGAACAGCGACGGCTGTTGACTGCACCCTCACTTTTCGCTTCACCCTGCCCGGTGTGCGCCCATGTGGGGTACTTGAAACCGAAAGGTCTTGAATGGAATACAGGGGCCGTAATAATCCGCCCCCCCCAAGCCGCGCCCCTTTTTTTGCCTGGAATGGGTACCCCTCGCAGGCGACCACGATCTGAAAGCGGACGGTTCGCCAGGACCAGGGGAAGTTGAAGCCCCGCCCAGCAGGCCCCCCGCCGCCTTGCTCCTCGAGCTCCATCCAAAGCCCCTGCCAAAGCCACCCGCCTTGGATCGAGGGGGGGCGGCCCTCCATCCAAAGCCCCCCACCTTGAAGGCGGCCCTCTCCATCCAAAGCCCTTGGATGGAGGCGGGGGGCCCCTCCATCCAAAGCCGCTCGCCTTGGATGGAGGGGGGGGGGCCCCCCTAACCCTCAACCCGGAACCCTAAACCATAGACCCGGCACCCTAAACCCCAAACCCAAGCCTCATTGCTTGGGGTGCAGTTACTTGGGCGCTGCAGAATCACCATGCTCACGCGGATGCGCTGGGCCGGGCCGAGGCGGGTCGCGTAGCGTTAAAAGTAGAATAGGGTTTTGGGGTGTTATTATGGTACACTTTTGAAGGGACCATAAGGGAATACGACCAGTATTTGTACTTATTCCGATCCCTATAATAGGGTGTGCCCGGCTGGCAGCGCGTCATCCAACAGTGCCAGTACTAACCGACGGCGTCTGCAGGGCGGCGATTCCAGCAAAATGATGCGAACTAGGGTTTAGGGTTTAATTAGGGTTGACAACGTGTAAGGTCACTGCGCCTGCCACACTCTTCTACCGTTTGGTACCATGTCAATCACCTGTTCATCAGCAGTAACAGTACGCCAGGAGCATCAGGAGCATTATTGCTCTGACTAAGCGGAATACACCTCCAAAGCACCTGAGCACTGCTGTAGTTTAGAAGGCTCAAGCAATTTTAGCAGCTACATCCATCCACTCAGGGAGTATTTGGCTGGGCGGGGCGTTGATGGAGGGACACGGAAGCCAGCTTCATTGTCAAATGCATTATCTCATCGGACATGAAACCCTGCAACTTATACATTTAAGATCTGGGTTTTAGGGGTTCGGGATGATTCGGGCTTAGGTGTCTGGGGGTTTGAGAACATTTAGGGTATAGGTACAGCACACCCGAACCCCTCATTCCCGCATTCCCTACTAAGAACCAGCCAGACCAGGGCACGATCTGCTCGGCATTGTACTCGTTGGCCAGGCTGCCGTCGATGAAGTCATTCCTGGGCCGGGGCCTAAACCTGATCGCCGCCCTTTCTGCGTGAACCCTAAACCCTAAACCCTAAACCCTAAACCCTAAACCCTAAACCCTAAACCCTAAACCCTAAACCCTAAACCCTAAACCCTAAACCCTAACATGCCCGCATCCTCGAGTCACAAACCCAAAGCCCTAAACCCTAAACCCGCAGCACGCACACACGCAAACACACACCCTAAACCCTTTTGCAACAGGCTAAACCCTAAACCTAAACCGTAATCCTGAACCCTACACGCATCACAACTTAGGCTTTTTGCCACCCGTCTAGCCATGCACTACACTAGATACTCCAGGTCATAGGGTGAACTGCATCTTGTGTGCACTGACCAAGCCAACTCCTACTTCTGAGGGCGGCGCCAACCTAGAAACAAAATTGGGATCCGTTGAATAGGAAACAAGCTACCCCCACTATGGGACACAGCCTCTCCCAGCGTTACACGAGATACTTGTAACAGCTTCCACGGAGAGCTTGCCAATCCTCACTGAGGTTTATGCTGAGGCTTTGGGCTTTGGGCTTTGGGCTTTGGGGTTTGGGGTTTAGGGTTTGGGGTTTAGGGTTTAGGGGTTCAGGGGTTGAGGGCTTCCAGACTACCCTCACTGGTCGAATTTTGCCGGGTCTCTGCACATCGATCACCACGAGAGCGGACTTCCGCTGCATCACGGAACTCAGCCAGCACCAACAGGTCAAGAAGAGGGTTTAGGCTTTAGGCTTCATCTTGACTATCAATGCTAAGCCCTGTTGGTGGTCGCTTTTAGGCTCTAAGGTAGTTGCCTAAGGTAGTTGCCTGCGTCTCGGTGCTCTCAGGCGGCTAAAAATCCCGAACACTGAAGTCAAGACCCTACTTGAGGCTCAGCAGAAACTCCCTGTTGGAACCCTTAAAACCCAAGGGAACCGAAACGCAAAGAGCAAAACCAAATCATCGTAGCTGTATAAGAAGAAAAAAACGAGCCATCCGAGACTTCATAACGGCAACTCCCTATTTTTCGGGGTTCCTGGAGCAATCCCTCGCGTCTTGAATCCCTCAAGACCTGAAGCCCTAACTCCTACAAGCACTCTCAGTGTGAAACCGCGACACGTAGGGTAACTATGCTGATAACCTTATTCAGGGTACGTACTTATAACCCTACTGAAAAGTACCCATGAACCTTCAAGCAGCCCTAAACCCTAAACCCTAAACCCTAAACCCTCAACCCAAAATACTAAACCCTAAAGCAGGGCTTAGGGCTTAGGGCTTCGGGGCTTCGGGGCTTTCGGGGATTGAGGACAGCAACTGCTCCGCGTCGTAGCATCGCAGGAAAGCCCTGAGCTCGTTCAAGCCAATGGTGCCATTCCTGACCCACCGCGTGGGATCTGTAGGTTTAGAGTTCGTAGGGTTGAGGGCTTACCTGGACCCCCAAAGTATGCCACAAAATAGCCCAACACCCATTAAAAGGGCCATAATCTATGCAGCGGAGGTACCGGAGACTTGCTAAGCGACTAGGGTGTGAAAGGGGAAGGTAAGGTCCTTAACAATAATCCAGCTTAGTTAGCAGCACTTGCCAGTCCAAAACTGGGGGGTCTCATACCAGAGGCATAGGAGCGCACAAAGGGGCTCTATATCGGCTGATGGCTTAGGGTTTAGTAAACTGCTCAAAATCTCTCGGCCCTACCAAAGATGTTGCCCACAGCACTCCGTTTGGACATTTGTGCCCAGGGGCTGATCTGCATCGAACTCGGCCGATAGCGTGGCAACTTCTTCGTCAGTAAGCTGACTGCCTGTCAGACACATATACCCTAAGCCCTTAACCCTAAACATATTCTTCATGTAACCCAACGTCTCAAAGTGCCTACACCCGCAAGTGCTAAAAGGCAATTCTCCGAAGAACACCTGGCCATCGCACAGTCAGCATGCTGAAGGGATCTGTTTCATATGCCGATGCGGGCCATGCGATGCCATCATCATCCTTCTGCACACCACAGCCGAAGATACACTGATACACTGTGAGCTATTCGTTTCACCTTAAACTGCATCTCGATTCCGTATACCCCCCCCCCCCCCCCCCACCCCCCCCGTCAGTCACGACCTGGGAAGGCATCACGGAGGAAGTTTGTCAGCTCTTGAACCTCGAGTTCACCATTCCTGTGCTGCAGGTAGGGCTTAGGGTTTAGGGTTCAGGGTTTAGGGTTTCGGGTTTAGGAAGCCATACATATGCTTTCGACTCTCGCACGGAAAGCTGACACACTCTCACCCCTTCCTACATCGAGCCCTGCAGACGACTTCCTACACCCCCAAACCCCCCGCACCCCCATTTCAGTTCTGGACTCTGGCAGAAAGGCAACCCAGACATTACTTCTTTTGGGCTGCGGGAAACCAAAGACAAAAAGAAGGCTGAGGCTAGAGAACAGCGGGGAGTAGACAGATCCGAAAGCCTTGAAAGCCCTGACCCATAAACCCCCCCCCCCCCCCCTCCGCCCCCCCCCCCCCCGCCCTCCCCCCTCCCCCCTCCCCCCCCCCCCCCGCCCCCCCTCCCCCCCTCCTCCCCCCCCCCCCCCCCCCCCCCCCCTCCCCCCCCCTCCCCAGCCCCTGCCCCAGCCCCAGCCCCAAGCCCCCAGCCCCAGCCTGGAGCTTGGGGCTGGGGACCCCCCCACCCCCACCCCAAACCCTAAACAAGCTCTTTGTTAACCCTTTGAAACCTTCTAAACAACTATTCCTACATATGATCGTCTTAAACCCCCAAAAGGAAAGACACAAGATGTCCGCACAGGGCTGACTCGAGCTTTCTGAAGTTTACGCTGCCCGCACTTCACATGAAGAAAGCACCCGCTATTAGGGTCGAAGCGGATTCAGGGTTTATATAGGGTTTAGGGTTTAGGGTTTAGGGTTTAGGACGCCCCAAGCCAAGCTGGATGATTAACCCTGCTTAGGGTTCATAGGGCTTATTGGGGTTTTCAGGGTGTACAGGGTTTATAGCGGTTTATATAGGGTTTATTGCGGCTTGTAGGGGTTATAAGGTTTATCGGTGTTTAAAGGGGGCTTACAGTGATTATAGGGTTTAGGATTTGGCGGGTCAAGAGTCTTGTTCTCGTCGTACCGGGTGAAGATCTCATCCACCTTCTTCAGGTGGATCTCGCGCTCCTCGCAAAGCTGGGAGGCTTTATCGGCCCTAAACACACTAAACCCTTCTGAGTTCAGGGAACAGGGTTTTCTCGGGTTGTTGAAGCCCTTACACCCTAACCATAAACCGTAAACGTAGGCTAAAACGCGGCGTTCAGCGCTGTAGAGTTTGGGACGCGAAGCCTTCTTGAGCACGAAGCCTCTGAGCGCATCGTCTTTCACTCCCACGCGTTTCGTGGGGCTATTCGCCCTGGACTCTCGTACTTCAATTCAAACCCTAAACCCTAAACCCTAAACCCTAAACCCTAAACCCTAAACCCTAAACCCGTCAATGACTCTGGGTTCACTCTTGATTCCTCTCCCCCTCTCTCCCCCTCTCTCTCTCTCTCTCTCTCTCTCTCTCGCGCTCTGTCCCTAAACCCTAAATCCTAGACCCTAGACCCTAAACCCTAGGCCCTCTTTCCCTGGAGTCCTTGCGGTCCTTTGCGCAGCACAGACCCATGGTGCCCCCTATGCCAGCGTCTCAACTGTGTGGACACAGACGCTGAGACTGCTCCGAGCTTCGACCTTAGCAAGCTCTGCTAATGCGAGAAGAGTGTGTAAGCTGTTCCGCTTTTTGGAGCCCAGAGCTGCACCGAAGGGGCCACAGGGGTTTAGGGTTTAGGGTTTAGGGTTTAGGGTTTAGGGATGCAAGAGGGTCTCGCAAGCACAGGGGCCCCAGAACCCGAAACCCCAAACCTTAAGCTCCCAGGTTAAGGGCTTATAGGCTTATAGGGCTATTCTTCCGTGTACCGTGGCTTTGTAAATGACAAAGTAGCTGCATGAAGCTTCGAGCTTCGAGAGGGGTTTGGGTCTTTCTGTGAAGGGAAGGATGTACCCCTAAGAGATTACCTTTAGCTACTCCAAATATGGCCCCTATATCTTTAGAGGATCTTTGAAAAGGGTCCCCAAAACCAAGGGTGCAACCTTAGGGGGTCAAAGGTAGAGCCCCATGATGCTGCAGAACTTTGGGGGGCCGCAAACCCTAAACCCTAAACCTAACCCTAAACCCTAAACGCCCTAAACGCCCTAAACGCCCTAAACCTTAAACCCTAAAACCTCAATCTAAACGCAACGACCGGAAAGCCCACCGGAAAGGTCGAGCTGGCACAGGGTCTCTGAAGACTCCTGGACGTAGAGCAAACAAACAAGCTGGCATAAGATTCCTAAACACCAAAGACCTAAAAACCGTAAACTCCAAAAAAGCCCTAAAATCCCTAAAAATCTTAAAGCTCTAAGAACCTTATACAAAGCCCCTTCAACAAAACCCTGAACCCCTGAAGGGCCCATGTACATATGCACCTTGCACACCTGACGCTCAAGCCGACAGGCAACTATGGTTACAACCCTAGTGCGGGTACCCATAACCCTACCTACGAGTACACATGAACCTTCAAGTATTTATAGCTCATGACACCATGGTCATAGTTAACCTAAACCTTAAACCTTAAACCCTAAACCCTAAACCCCTCGCCTCCTCGTCCTCACCCTCGGCCGGCTGCTCCTCTTGCGGCTCCTGCAGCCGGGCGGGGTTCAGGGCTTATACTTCGGAGGTTCATGGGCACTTATAACCCCCTCAGGGTCTAGGGCTTAGGGTTTGGGGTTAGGGTTTTTTTGTTGAGGGTTCGGGCTTAGGGTTTAGAGGGCTCCAGATGCCTGCTTACAACCTACCTACAGGACTTAGGGGACTTAGGGGGCTTTAGGTACCGTTCATATTGGGGTTATAAGTACTCTGAACCTCCAAGTACACTTGGCATTTAGAAGGAGGGTCACAACTACCCTAAAAGAGGCTGAAACCATCTAGCTGCCCTGCTTATCGCCGTACTTATGACTACCCATGAACCTCCGAGTATGACGGAGGAAGTTTGGGACTTCAAGGCCTAGGGCTAGAAACAGAGAGGTTAGCGAAACCCTAAACCCTAAACCCTAAATCCTACACCCTAAACCCTAAACCCTTAACTATCACTACTAGGGTTTAGGGTTTAGGGTGTAGGCGGTCTAGGCTTTAGGGCTTTACGAGGGATTGCCCATCAATACCGAAAAGTCCCCTTGCCTGTCTCGCACCCCCAGTCCACTCTTATACATGGGTCCCTTTTGGTCCCAGGACCCCGAGAAGGGCCATAATTTAGGGAACGACCCGGCCTTAATGATTAGAATAGGGCCTTCGGGGGTTTTAGTTTAGAAATATTTAGGGACCGGAAGGGAATACTATTAGTAATTATCTATGCTCCCCTTAGATCCTTAATACAACATTTGTTTTACTATCTTCTTGGGTTTTATACAAACAAAAAAAGAGAATACTTCCCCAGGGGGATATAGATATTCCGACACCCTAAACCCTAAACCCTATAATTAGTTATTCCGACCCCCCCCCCCCCATATTACACACTAGCTCTGTTCAGGTGACTCCCGTGCACCGGCCTGCCTCCGACTGCCGGGATCCTGCAGCACGTCTAGGGTTTAGGGTTTAGGGTTTAGGGGTTTAGGGTGTTAGGGTGTTGGGGTGCTAGGGTTTACAAACAAGGCCCCACCCTTCTAAATCAAGGACTCTTGAGCAGCCACAGCAGCTCTCCGCAGAGATTTCACTCTACGAACCCTTAACCTTGCACCCCAAAACCCTTCAAGTCTACACCCTAAACCCTAAACCCTAAGCCCAAAACCCTAAAGCTCCCAAAGGCCCTCTTGACTCCCTGCAAAACCTAAACTTCTCAACTCCCCTCCCAAAATCCGCAAGACCTTACCCAAAACCTGCCTGTTTGCAAGTTACCGAAGAATCCTCGCAGGCTCGCAGGGGCTCTAATACTAAGAACCTACAAAAAACAGGTAGGATCTTTTGGGCTCTTCTTAACTAGGGTAAAAACCCTAAGCCCTGAACCCTGAACCCTGAACCCTAAACCCTTGGCTTGCCCTCGATTCCCCCCGCCTCGGTCGGATTCCTTGCGGCGGTAGTGGCTACGAACGGCGGAACGAAGCATGGCAAGGGCACTGGCAGGGTTACAGGTTGCAGGTTTGGTTTGGGTTTAGGGTTTAGGGTTTAGGGTTTAGGGTTTAGGGTTTAGGGTTTAGGGTTTAGGGTTTAGGGTTTAGGGTTTAGGGTTTAGGGTTTAGGGTTTAGGGTTTAGGGTTTAGGGTTTAGGGTTTTGGGTTACAGGTTGAGTTTAGGGCTGTTTACTGGGGTTTTAGGGGTCCTAGGATTTCGGTTTAGGGTTTAGGGGTCCCAGGACTTTTCGGGGTTTAGGGGTTCAGGGTGAGGTTATGTGGGGTCGTGCACTGGGGTGATTAGCTGGGCTGTTCCCCCTGATGTACTAACAGTCTTCAGTCGGGATTATAATAAAATAGGGGTACTTATAACCCTATTAGGACGGTTAGTATAACGGGGGAACATCCCAAGTTACAAGGTTAGATTGTGGGGGTAAAGCTGCCCGAAACGGCTTCCAGGTCACATCGACCACTTTCAAACTTTGACGGTATAGTACAGTGTAAGTACTGACCCAGAGGTCTGCGGTTCGGGGTTTGGGGTTTAGGCCCCCCCCCCCCCCTTGCCCGGGCTTGGTTGTTCTTGCCAGCCGCAAATCACTGTGGGCTCAGGGCAGCCCCCTTTTGACCCTAAACCCTAAACCCCAAACCCTAAACCCTAAACCCTTCTGGCATCTTGGCTGTAGAGGGGGATGTAAGGCCTTGAAACCCGGTCGACATAGCTTTAGCTATTTTTTGCCACCCGTGTTAGCCATTTAGTGTTTAGGGTTCGGTGTAAGGTGCAAGAGATTCCTAGGGTAGCTATATGGTCTCTTGGCTCAAGGGCCCATACTTCAGAATTCTAAAGAAACTAAGGGACCACATTAAGGTTCAGTCTTTTGCTGGCTTATGCCAGCGCAGTGCAGGAACGACGGAACTTGCAGGCACGTGAGCAAATCCTCGTTGAAAAGGCTAGCTGTCTCTACTTGGGAACAATCGGTTCAGCTTTTGCTGGCTTCTGCTAAATGCTGGAGGGCACTTTGGAGGCCCTTGAGAGAGACCTCGTTGAAGAAGGGGTGTAGTTTTTTTTTTGCCACCCGCCTAGCTGACACTCAGGCCACGTTGCAGGGACCAATACCGGCAATACTACTCATCATTAGGGTTTAGGGTTTAGGGTTTAGGGTGTAGGGGTTTAGGGTTTAGAGGGACTGCCCCTTTAACCCGAGCTGCTTTCTCCATGCGGGCCCTGGTCTCATGACGGGTCCTCTCTCAGTGCCTTCCACGCATTCTCGTATGAGCGTACCAGCTCTGTGAGCTTCTCGCTTTGCATCAGCCTGGTGGCGACGATGAAGGTGGTGTTGTCTGGCTGCAGCTGGATGAGGCGTGCGCTGTTGGCCAACCAGTAGTCTGCAACCTGCTTCCTTCCCACTTCAGTCTCACAATCGGGCGCTGGAGGCAACTGCTCAACCTGGAGATCTTCACCTTAGTAGCCCATGAACCGTATCACAATAAGGGTAACCCTTTTTGGGGTCGGTGACTTCACAAGGGAACCAAAACGAGAAAGGGCACAACGCTGGGCTACCAAGTCAGAGCACCGGCGTCCCCTGCCACGACGCGCCAGGCTGCGCGTGCACACGCTGGATCTTGAAGAACCAGCCCATGGAGCATCCGCAAACGACCGCAGCAACAACCATTCCTAGGATGGCACATTAAATTAAAACCCTCCGAAAAAAACTCCTGAATGTGATCCTCTTAGACCCAATATCAGAGAAAAATCTGAAATGTCGCCCAATGGCCTACCTAGATTCGGGCCATGTTGGCGGTACCTGCTGTAAAACCAGTAAGCCAGCTCGTTTCTGGACTCCTGGGCCACGTCTCGCCTGCCCATACACCATTTGAAAAGACCCGTGATGCCAGAAGTGTTGAAACCTCCCTCCATGTCACCAACAGCTCCCGACTCAGCTTTCTCTTTGATCAGATCGACGACCTCTGGCCACACGTTCGGAAATTGGTCCGCGAACGCGGCGACTTCACCGACATTCCGAAGAAAGTACGGCCGCAGGCGTGCCCACACCTTCAATACACCTTCGCCACGTGCCAGGTTTTCAGGCAAAAATCCCTTCAGGACTGCGACCGGCATCTGTGGTATGAGGAATGTAGGGTGCAGCTGCACGGCGGTCTGAATTTCGCTGAGGTTGGGGATTTGTTCTAAGCGAGCACCCAAGAAAAGGAAGTAGTTGGGATGTGGTCCACCGTCCCGAAGCACTCGTTTTGCTATTGCTTTAGCCACTTTGCTTCTCGATCCTTCCGCCAGGCCCCTTTCAAGCATGTCCACCGAAAGGCCGAAATAGTAGCCGCTCTGTGTTAGCACACTGTCTGGGATGTCATCCAGCCTGTTTTCGACCAAGTGACGACAGCGGGGCAGCAGAACAGACAGAACATCCTCAGACCTTGCGCAAAATAAGGTCACAAAAAGCGCGAAGACGATGGTATCCTGTGATCTTTCCTCTGCACGTCGAAACTCCCGCAGGAAACTTCTACGAACTCGGGCCGCCTGTGTGCGTAGCCTTTGATGCAGGTGTACCACCAAAGGTCAAGGGTCCAATTTCTGAAAGCCGCCTCCGGATTGTGGAACAAATGTAGCTGAAGCATCCAGTATGCCCGCTCCCCCTCGCGAGGGCTTACTTGCAGGCCTTCGTCTACGATTCGCTCGGCTGCCTCTGCCCACGCGGGAGACTCTGTGGGGCAGAAGCAGATATCCACCACGCCGGTGCTCTGCATAAGCTCCTCCGTGGACACCACAGCCTGGCTCGACGCCCCCCGGCTCGAACGGGCTCGTAGGCCGAGCGCCACCGGTGCCGCGACGAGCAGTCTCCTCTCACTCTGTCTGGAGTTCCGATCTGTCTGGAGAGTTCGAAGAAACTGGTGGATCATGCACGGCGGATGTAGGAGCACGCTGCGCGTGAAGGTGCCAACTGAGCCGCGCCCGTGGTAAGGGCACGCATGGTGCATGGCTCGAACCCAAATCATGAACCTTGGTTGGCTACACCCTAAGCAGAACAACCTAAACGCAATCTGATCCAAGCTGTGTCCAGCATCCTCATGAAGCTGCCACTGCTCATGTTGGAACACATGGACTGGAAAACGCCAACCCCCACCTCACGATCACGTTTCCTTTGACTAGACTTGGGCCCCCGTCACAAGATTTACGGCTTGAGTGCGGGGCTTTGTGATTTGTGAGGTTTAGGCCTTCTAGATACAGTGTCTGGGGTGCCAGATAGCACCCTAAACCCTAAACCCTAAACCCGATACCCTAAACCCTAAACCATAGCACTTGCAACCCAAAAGCCCTCAAGCGTGCTCAAGATGGCGCGGGCTGCATGTCAACGGAGCGTCTTGTTTTCCACCTCTCTGTTTTCATGCTCTTCCGAATTCCGCAGTCTGCACATAGAAGATCGGGCAGCGATGAAGGCTTAAGGTTTCAACCTAAACCCTAAACCCTAAACCCTAAACCCTAAACCCTAAACCCTAAACCCTAAGGTTGACTTTGATCTCTAAGCTGCAAGGATCATGTTAACCTTTAAGCTCTCGCCGCCCCCAGAGGTGAGGGCTCTTGAGCCGCTCTGTTTAGGGTTTAGGGTTTAGGGTATAGGGTTTATAGGGTTTAGGGTTTAGGGCCCTGCTCAGTCCATGGAATTCATGTCGCCCGGCTTTGCTGCAGGCTTGCTGCCCTGCTGTAGCTCCAAAGACGCGCGCCTCAGAAGAAAAAGGACTTTAGCGCTGAACTTGCTTCACAAAATCCCGGCCCCCCCCTTGAAAGACATGAGAGACGTATCCTAATTCGTCGTAGGGTCCCAAAAACATGCTTCCGGGATTGTACCTTTTTGTGATTTGAAAATGGTTTCAATGTGGTTGGCCATTTATGAACCCGGAAATTTGGATCCTGGCAACGATGCTTCCACTATGACTCCAATCCCCCTTATACTAACAGTCCTGAATAGGGGGGGGGGGGGGGGCTTGATTGCCCCGAACCCTAAACCCTAAACCCTAAACCCTAAACCCTAAACCCGAAACTAAGAAAAAGCGGGAACACCCCAAGTTCCGCTACCAATCATGTTTACAAAAAAACATGTGTTTTCATTTTCGGCAAGGGCCGCCTTGGCTTACATAGGAATGCCAACAAAAAATGTCCATATTTCTTGAGATGGGTATAGGGTTTAGGGTTTAGGGTTTAGGGTTTAGGGTTTAGGGTTTAGGGTTTAGGGTTTATTTGTTGGTGTTCTCCATAATTCCAGGCATAGTAATTTCACAGTCAGATCATGGTTGATTCGTATCGTGTCTTTTTCATAAACGCAAAGCAGCAAAGCCTACCCGAAAAACAAACTAAGCAAAAAGGGTATTTAATGAACATACATTGGGATGTTCCCCCCCCCCCCCTGTACGAACCAGTCCTTGATTGGGACTATGATATAATAAACCTAAACCCCTAAGACCCAAATAGGGGGTACTATGATAGTCCCTATACCCTAAACCCTAAACCCTAAACCCTATTCAGGACTGTTAGTATAAGGGGGAACATCCAAAACACATACTTGTTTTGACCACTTCAGAAGTTTAAATCTATGGTACTCAGGGTTTCGGGTTTAGGGTACATTTAGGGTTTAAGGTTTAGGGTTTAGGGTTTAGGGTACATTCTTAGTCAGGCGTGCTCTCGGGGTTGTTGTCACCACAAACACCACCCTGGAGTGGGGTGTCTTCCAGCCGCCAGGGTCTCCATAAACCGAACGTTTCGGCTTAACTACTTTAGGGTTTAGTAAGGTTTACCTTAAACCCTAAACCCTAAACCCTAAACCCAAAGCCATTCGCGGCCGAAAAAACTTTGCGCGACACTTGGAGGCTCATGGTACTTATTGTCCAACTATAACTGTACTTATAACCCACTTATAAGCCCCTTATGTGCCCTAATATGGTTATTAATAAGTACAGTTATGAGTACAGTTATCATTGGCTAATCAGGCAGGCTTTGGTGCTTCGCCTGGTCTTAGGTCCTTCCCCTCAAAAGCATCGGCGCTGCCTCTTTTGACCTCCTACAACCCTTCGCCCTCGCCCTAAGCCCTAAACGCGAGGAATATACTACCCCAAGCCCTAAACCTAAACCCGAAACCCTATCCCTAAACCCGAAACCCTTATAAAGTGGATCTCAAGACATCAGCTCTCCTAAACCCTAACCCTAAACCCTAAACCCTAAACCCTCAACTCCCTAAACTCCTCCAGGTATGCCCAGGAGCAGCTCGGCGACTTGGGGGTCCTCTTGGCCGAGGCATCGGGGGGAGGCAAGGCTGCCATACTTGAAGGTTCCAAGTAGGGTTTAGGGTTTAGGGTTTAGGGTTTCGGGTTTAGGGTTACCTGAAGGTTCGTGGGTAATTATACGTAGGGTTATAATAACCTTAATTAGCGTTACAACCATTGTTACCCTACTTTTTACCCTACTTGTAGATACACATGAACCTCCAAGTGCCATCTGGGTAACTGGTTTACCCTTTTTTGCTGCCGGGTTTACCCTAAACCCTGAAACCCAACACCCAAAACCCTAAGCCCTGACTTGCTCCTGTATTCAGGATTTTTCGCTGCTTGTAAGCTAGGATGAGGTGCCAACGAAATCAGACCCGAACCAGGTGCCCTACATTTTATAGACAAATGGCCTACATCCCTAAAACCTAACCCTAAACACTAAACCCGAGACACGAACTACTTTTTGTTCTACTCCGAACTCAATACTCGGAGAATTCAAGCCCTTTGTTGAAGCTCTAAACAGTGCAAATGAACAAAAACATGGCCTGAACAACCTAAACCCTAAAACCCAAACCCGAAACCCGCCCTGAACCCCAAACCAATGTAGGGCACACTCTGAACGAGAGCCTCACCTGCGGCAACACCCTGGACTGCAGGGGTCTCTTTAGGGCAGCGCAATGTTTCAAGATGTTTTGGACTTGGGGCCATAGGGTTCGAGAGCGTCTCGCGATGGAAACCCCCAACTCTTCCAAACACTGTAATAAACAAACAACTTGAAACACGCTCTCTTGCCATCCGTTCAGCAGACAAGCCAAACCCTAAACCCTGAGCCCTAAGCCCTAAACCCGGGTTTGGGCTTGGAGTTCAGTGAGAATTCTAAAGAACCTCGGCGCGAACAAAATTCCTTAAGCCATGAACATTGAACCCTCCGGCCCCCGCCCTCACCCCCAAATAGGGTTTAGGGTTTAGGCACGTCGGCATTGAACTTTCAATTTTTATCGTGGCACCAAGTGCGCACACTCATTCGCCCACTTCTTCTCTTCCGCTTGAGCGCGAGAACTTCAACATGTGTTGTTTGTCAACATAGTTTCCACCCTCAACCCCAAGCCCTAATTAAACCCTAAACCCTAAACCCTAAATCCAAAAACCCTAATCCTAAGCCCTAAACCCTAAGAGACAGCAACCCGGGAGCTGCTTCCAAAGTGCCTTCGCGGCGTACCTTCGCGGCGTACCTTCGCGGCGCGCCTTCGCGGCCCGCCTAATGTCCTACGAAACCAGAAGCAATCGCCCGGAACATCTAAACCCTAAACCAGTCCTAAACCGTAAACCCTAAACCGTAAACCGTAAACAACCAGGACTGCACAGCTGCCGGGAAACTCAGGCCCACACAGAGGAACCTCCCAATCCCTGGAACTTTGCTTAGAGGTTCATGGGTACTTATCCGAAGGGTTAGAAGTAGGGAAACTATCCCTAAGGCTCCATGTATATACTTGGGCCTTAAAGAGGTTCCTATATGATAGCTTTAGGGCTCAAGTCTACACTATATAAGTACATGGACCCTTCGGGTATTGTATGGCAATAACCGTATGCAGGGTACTTATAACCCTCTCTACAAGTACACAGGAACCTTCAAGTAAACTCCAGACGCGCTCCCTGGAATCTCCCCCAACCCTAAACCGTCATGCATCTTTCTTTCTGTCGTCCTTGGGCTCCAGATCAGAAGCCACCACGGCGGCCGCATAGGCCTAGGGTTGGAGTTTAGGCTACCCTAAGGATCCATGTGCCTATATAGTATATACTTGAGCCTTAAGAAGGGGTTCCTATAGAGCAGGTATATACCATATAGGTACATGGATCCTTACGGTTAGAAGGCGGTATGGTGTTTGCTCTTGCGGGCTTCAGGCAGAGGCTACAGGTTTCAATTGTGTGTGTGCGTGTGTGTGTGTGTGTGTGTGTGTGTGTGTGTGTGGTGTGTGTGTGTGTGTGTGGTGTGTGTGTGTGTGTGTGTGTGTGTGTGTTGTGTGTTGTGTGTGTGTGTGTGTGTGTTGTGTGTGTGTGTGTGTTGTGTGTGTGTGTGTGTGTGTGTTGTGTGTGTGTGTGTGTGTGTGTTGTGTGTGTGTGTGTGTGTTGTGTGTGTGTGTGTGTGTGTTGTGTGTGTGTGTGGGTGTTTTTTTTGGGGGGGGGCTTGCATTTGACACACGTTTACATACATTCAAGTTGCATTCGAAGACGTTTACATTACGTACGTCCAGTACACACATTACAGCACCCACGCACGCTCTGACGTTTGCGCTGGGAATGGGGCCGGGGTCCTTTGCGTACGTAGGGTTTAGGGTTTAGGGTTTAGGGTTTAGGGTTTAGGGTTTAGGGTTTAGGGTTTAGGGTTTAGGGTTTAGGGTTTAGGGTTTAGGGTTTAGGGTTTAGGGTTTCGGGTTTAGGGTTCACCTGAAGGTTCATGGGTACTTTCAAGTAGCGCTATAAGTACCCTGGATAAGGTTATAGTAACCATAGTTACCCTACGCACAATCCTAGTTCTCCAAGTACCCATGAACCTCCAAGTAGAATCGGCTTTGGGGCTCTGGGATTTGTCGGGGGGGAGGGGAGGGGGGGTTAGGGGCCCTAAACCCTAAACCCTAAACCCTAAACCCTAAACCCTAAACCCTAAACCCTAAACCCTAAACCCTAAACCCTAAACCCTAAACTTAGTGAGGGGTCGCTTCCGTCGAGCGACAGACCCCGAACGGCTTGGCCGAGGGCTCACAGCCCGAGCGCCCATACGAAAAGAGCGGGCCGCGGAGAGGTGAGGGTAAAGCCTCACCGGCTTGTCCTGCACAGGCCAACGACCCTGGCCTTGTTGGCCTAAGGGATGGCCGTATCCAGACCACCTTTAGTGTTAACTAAAGTAGAACCCCAAACCTCGGGCCGTTGGGGTGGTTTAGGGTTTTGAGGGCTTGCCCGGGCCCCCCTAAGCCCCTGGCTGGACCGGGCCCCTTGCCCCTGGTGCCATGTCCGGGGTGTCCGGGGGCGTCCGGGGCGTCTGGGGGCGTCCGGGGGCGTCTGGGGGCGTCCGGGGGCGTCGGGGGCGTCCGGGGGCGTCGGGGGGTGTCCAGAGGTGTCCGGGCGGCTTGTCCGGGAGGTGCCCCGAGACCCCCCCGGACGTGGAGCGGGACAGCGTCCGGGGGGGCCCCCCGGACGCCCCCGGACGCCCCCGGACGGTTGGATCAAAAGGAATTTGCTTAGAGCCGTCGTGATCCCCGCTTTAGAAAACACTCGAAAACGCCTGGTTTTTGCAAGACCAGCGAAAATGCGACGGCAGGAAAATGCTCACTTTGGCTGTTTTCGTCGAAGGCATTTGGGCCCAGCTCCACGCGGTCCATTTTTCAGGTTTGCGCGCGGCGCGCCCCCGCCTTGTCTTTTGCTACATGCCGCGAGGAGCTCGCGTGGCAATTCGCACAAAAATTGGGTCGCCGCGCGTTTTTCGCTAAGTCTTTTTTGCGCAGTTTTTGGTTTTTGTCTTAACCCTATAAGGTAACGGACGACGCACGGAGGCGGGAACTTGCCAGCCTGCGCTTCGCGACGTCGTCCACACTAAGGTCCGAGATGGGTAGGAACCCCTCCGAGACCGTCAGGTGGCGCTGACGGCTCGGGGGGGAACCAGGCCTGGGTAATTTTGCTGCTTTCGGTTTGTACACTTACAATGTACGCGAACCGATGATGGACATGTTGTTACTGCTCACGTGCATCTCAGGTGAGACCTCCCCAACAAGGCTCCATTTGGGCGGCTCTGGCTCCAAGGGAGTCGAGTGTGAGCACCGGCTCCTACGTAAGTTGTAACTCGCGAAAAAGACGTGACGAGCCCACCTCGAAAAAAGACCGACTGCGCCATAGATGCATAATGCCTGGTTGCTGTAGCCGAAGCGGTCGCATGCATCTGTCGCAATGAGTTCCGCGTTACCTTTTGTTGCCGCGGTAGCCAGTGCACGCAGTGATAGGAACCGCGAAACAGCCATCCGATCGCCTCCTCCGAGCCATGGCGCCCAAGCTCGCCGGCACCTACGGGCGCGGCGGCGCACTTCGCCATGTGGAGGATCTTCGAGCCGAGGGCCTGGGTGAGGCAGCACTGCGACAGCGCCTGCGCGATGAGGGTTACGCTGCCCCTCGCATCTCCCAATTGCTGAAAGGTACCCGCCCGACCGCGCCTGTCGCTGCGCCGCGCGCTCGCCCTGCCGCTGCACTTGCGCCAGAGGCCGTGGAGCCTACTGTCGATGTGGAGTTGGTCGAGCTGGGGATCCAGGAGGACGATGCCGTGACGGAGTCTCTTGATCAAGCGGAATTCGAGTGGCACGTTGACCATGCCATGGAGGCGGTTGGGCCTCACGATGACGCATCGTCGGAGGAGGGCGATGTTGGCACTCTGCTTAATGACGAGCGAGTTTTGAGCTCCGGTGACTCGGAGTCAGGGCAACCCGGGCCGGCGCAGCCTTCGGCGCAGCCTTCGGCGCAGCCTGCGCTGCCCCCAGCGTCTGCTGTTCGAGCCCCTGGCCGCACTCACGTGGGCCCCCCGCTGAGAAAGCCAGCCCGTGGCCCGTGGCCGAATGAGCAGTGCCCTGGCCTGCCCGGATCTCCTTGCACTTTCCACGCGGCTGCCACTGGCCGGCCGGCTCGCATCCACCGAGATCGCGGCGAGACGCATTGTCTACTCTGCGACGGGGGCAAGTGCCGGGCAACAGGAAAGGACGTCTTGGCGAATGTGCTGGAAAAGTTTCGGGACAAGAACTTGACGGTTCACGGCGCGGCGTTGGAGCGACTGCGCCAGCACCTGGGCCAGTCCGAGCTCGCTGCCCTCCAAGATCCTTGGGCAGCCTGTCTGCAGGAGCGCAAGTCAGTCGGCAGCATCCTCAAGCCCAAGGCACGCGAGCACTACGCAGCCGAGGTGAAGCGCGATCGCAGGGTGGCTCGGCGCAAGGTCTTCTTCCCGGAGAAGATGCGAGCCCGCGCCACAGAAGCCGAGGAAGCGGCAGAGATGGAGCACGTGAAAGCTGTAGGGCACGTGGAAGACCTGGCGGCGAACGACACAGGCCTGCCTTCACCGAAGTGCTCCATTCCGCGCCTTGTGGAAGCGTGGTGCAAGCAAGGGTCCTGGGGGGTGTGTGAAAAGTGCCACAGCCTGTGCCCCCGACCCCTTCGGCCTATGGACGCACGGCGCATAGCGAAGCCCGTCATCCCCAGCGCACAGTGCACCGCCTGCCAGAAGGGCGAGCACGTTCCGCAGCCCGAGGACGTGCCGCCGCCGCTCCGTGGCCTCAAGCCGAAGGTCCTCGAAGCTCTCCGACCCCTCGAAATCGACACGGGGGTCGCCGACCGGGCGCCATTCGGCTATCGTGTGCACACTGCGATGATCTGCTTTGCCTGGGAGCCGGTCTCCGTGGAGTACAAGATCGCTCACCTGGAGAAGCGCAAGGACCGGCGCGCAGCCGAAGCGGCCTATCTCCACCTCATGGGCTCGACGGTCAGTGCCTACAGGACCTTCATCGAGCGGCACGAAGACTTCCTCAAGAAGCACGGCGACCACGCAGACCGCAAGCTCCGCAAGCGTCCCTTGCGGTTTTTGGAGGAGGAAGGCTTGGAGTGTTGCCTGTGGCCCCATCTCTACCATCACAAGAACCTTTGCGAGACCGTGGCCCGGGCAACCCACGAGACGCGGCAGCAGCGAGGCCACAAGCGACGCGCGGAAGACAGCAACGATGATGAGGACGCAGAGACTGAGGGCGAGCGGGACGTCGAGGGCGTCGGCGACGCCGTTGCCGGCAGCAAGATGGGCCGCATCAAGCGAGGCTTCATCCGGAAGGTGCTGTCCCCTGTGATCGGTTTCGGCGCCGACTACCAGCTGCTGCACTTCGTGTACGACCTCAGCATGTGGACCACCATTGGCACGAAGCGCAACATTGCTGCGCGCACCGGCGTGCCCCTGCGGCTGCTTCTCAAGGGCTCGCCGTGGACGCCCCAGTATTGGCGGGTCCGCCACCAAGCACTCGTGGACATGCAGCGCCAGTGCGGAAATGCCACCCTCTTTCGCACGCGCGCGCCATATGAGCGCAGCTTCCCGTATCATCGGTGGATCCTGCACGAGCAAGAAGTCATTGGGGCGTCCCCGGCAGCACCTCGCCGGCGCGGAGACGCTTCACATGGCCCACATCCTGATGCAGTTGGACAAGGGCTACTTCTGCGGCGACTGGGCGAAGGCTGGGCGGGCGGACCGGATTTGGAAGGAGCACCTTCTGGGGCCCCACGTGCCCAACAGCACCAACACCGTTGTGGCTCACGCAACGCGCCTTGAGTTTCAGGATGGCAAGCGCAAGCGGGGCACCCAGCGCTACCACGGGCGTGGAACCACTCACAGTCACTCCTTGGACTTCCTCACGAACATCGCAGACATCGGCTTAGAAACCAAAGTGCAGGCCACGATCCCACCCAAGGACACGGAGCCTTTGCTGCACGGTCTCGTGATGGACTCCCAATGTGACTACAGAGACTCCAAGCTGCCGGTACGCGAGGCACCGTCCACCTGGGACCCCGACGCGAAGAAGGTACTGCTTCACCACTCCACTGACGACAAAGAGGCGAAGATCCGGGCTTACTTCAAGGACACCATGGAGGTCACCAAATGCCATGAAGACGTTCAGCAGGGGGACGGGAACGGCGCGGTGCTCCGGTACGTGTCAACCTACAACATGAAGTTCAGCAACTCCATGGACTCCGACTGGCTCAACGGCGCCGCGTCCGACTACAGCACTGCAGCCGGGGTCCTGCGGCGCTACCAGCCCCTGGAGCCGGAAATGTGGCTCACCCTGGCGCAGGAGCGCTTCCCGCAGGTCCATCTCAGCGGCACCTTCGTGGACTACATGGCCCCAAGCCTGGATGTCGAAGAGAAGCCGCAGTACCTCCAGCATTACGAGGGCTGCGCCTGGCGCCGGGAGGACATGACGCTCCTGGAGTTCCTCCGCAAAAGCAACGCCAAGGGCGACCTCATCCATCACATCTGCCAGAAGCACCAGGACATGGTCCTGGAGGAGGTGCGTGCCGTCGAACGCAAATCCCAAAAAGCCTTCGCTCCGCGTCGCAAGGAACTGCTGGCGTCCTATACCGCCAGCACCGGGCGGAGCGGCGAGCCCGCGGCCGCGAGCCGCTCGCGTTGACGGAGTTCTTGGCCGACCGGGACTACATTGGCCTTACCTCCTTGCAAAGCTTCGCCAATGCCTACGAATGCCGCGGCGAGAAGTTAGCGGCGGTCTCCACGCACTCGATGCTGAACGACCGCTACTACGGTCAGTGGCTGGCACTCAATCGCCCCTTTCGGCGCTTGGAGGAGTTCGCCGAGGCGGCCCCCGAGGTGGCAGAGCGCGTGCCCGAGAAGTACCGACACTTTGCACTGTGCATGCACCATGCCGCGGACTTCTGGGAGGACGAGAGTCTCGTCCGCGGCGCCATGGAGCTGGAGGCCCGCAGCAACGCGTTCATCGACACCATCCTGCGGAAGATCCGGGCGCAACATCATCTCGTGAAGCGGTACTTGACGGGCGCGATCCCGGTGACCGAGGTCCTGAGCGCCGAGGAATCCGAAGAGGGCAGCGCGGCGGCGGACGCGGGGAAGCGCGCAACAAAGCTCACTCACTCGCAGAAGCGCCTCGCTCGGGCCATGCAGGAGCAGCTGCAGAACGCCTTACAGGCGGCCGAGGCGCGGGACGACGAGACCCTGGAGGCGTGCGTAACAGCCGCGGAGGCCAACAAGATCCTCTTCGCCAACGGACCGCCCGGCACCGGGAAGACGCACGTGCTCCATGAACAGATTCGGCGGTGGAAGGCCAAAGGAGCCCGGGTCCTCTTCGCCCTGCCGACAGGGCAGCTGGCCTCGGAGATGCGTGCGCTCCATCCAGACGTGGACGTCGACACCAGCCACGGCGCCTTTCTTCTGCACAAAGATCTCCAGGAAGCTGCTGCGATCCTCACTCAATACGACCTAGTGGTGGTGGACGAGGTTTCCATGCTCACCGACAAGCATTTCGAGCACATCCTGGCCCTCTGGAAACACGCCGACCAGCTGCCGTGCCTCGTCCTCCTGGGTGACTTCTGGCAACTCCCCGTTGTGGATCGGGACGCCGCGCGCTGCGAGCAATCACCCGCTTGGACCGGCCACGTCCGGACCGTCGACTTCTACGAACAGGTGCGCTGCAAGTGCCCGGTCTTGCAGAAGAAGCTGGACATTCTGCGGACGGCCGTCCCCAGCGTGAAGCAACTGAAGGACATCCTCCGCGGGCACCGTGCGTGGATGACCCGCGAGCCCACGGCCTACAACGTCCTGGATCTGTTCCGACAGCACGAGAACACCACGGTGGTCACCTGCACCCGCCACGGCGCAGCCACCGTCAACGACCTGGCCGCCCAGGTGTTCTTCGAAGACCGGCACAAGCGCCCGCTCGGATCGCTGCCTGTGGATTATGAAGCCAATCCGGACAACTACACCTCCACGGGACGCCTCCGCAGCGGCAGGCTGGAGCCGGCTCGACGCGACGTCTACGCGGGCATGCGCATCTTCCTTACGCGCAACATGTCCAAGGAGGATGACTTCGTCAATGGCATGGCCGCCACCGTGGAGGGGTACGACGAGGCGTCACCCGCACCAAACAACGCCTTGCCGTTTACATGGTTGCCCACGAGCTGGCGGACGGCAGGAAGGTGGCCTGCTTTCCCATCCGCCTGGGCTACGCCTCCACCGTACCCAAGGTCCAGGGGATGACGCTCCCGCACGTGACCCTTTGGTTGGACCGCGCCGGTTGTCGGGCAGCTGCATATGTGGCTCTCTCCCGCGTCGAAAGGGACGAGAACTATCTCATCGCCGGCCTCGTCTGCCCCAAACATTTCGTGCCTGCCCACTGACTGAGCGGAGCTCGCCAGTTTCTGCACCAAGATTTAAAAAGTGGCGCCGCGAGCTTGGCAACCCAATCAGTCCATCACAGTAATTTTGCAACAGCTGCTTGCAGAGCATGGATGTCGATTCGGTTGGCAACACGGCGGCTGCGTAGCGAGAGACTCTAGGCATGTGTTGGCGTGCCTTTCCAAGAGCGTGGCTGCAGCTTGGAGCACACGTAGTTGAGGGGTGAGGTTGCGCACTGTCGCAAACGTGATCGTCGCAGTTTGAGATTCGCACAGCTCGACCGGCGATCGTCAAAAAGTCAGCTGGACTCAAGTGGCATGCCAGGCTACATGTTTCTACGCCTGAGGGTACTGCATAGAGAGATGCGCTTTACGTTGCTCTTGTCATCTATAATCAAATAAAGAATCAAGAATCCCCCGGCAAGCCATTCGACTGTCATGTGGTCCTCGTGGCGCTAGCTCCGCGAAGCGCCTGGGATGCATTTTGTGTTGCTCTCTCCTCTGTGGGGCATCGCGTTGGTAGAATGGAATGCGCCTTAGAATGAATTGAACGCCCCCCTTGAGGGGGGTTGGGGGGTGAACCCTAAACCCTAATTGAGAATAGTTTGGGTGGCCGGGGCGGGATTACAGGCAACGCGAGCGCGCGGCCCGGGGCGTTTCACGCCCGAGCGCGCGACCTCGCACGCACACCCTAAACCCTAAACCCTAAACCCTAAACCCTAAACCCTAAACCCTAAACCTGAACCCTAAACCCTTGGGGGGCTAGGGTGGGGGAGAGTTGGGGGTTTCAGGGCACAAAAGGAGTCCGGACTTCGATCTGGGGCACCTCGTCTTCGCGCCCCGGAAGCTGAACCAGTGCCTCTCTGCATAGGGTTTAGGGTTTAGGGTTTAGGGTGTGGCCAGAAAGCCTGAAACCCAAACCAACTGACGTTACCCTGGGTCAGTTCCAGACGTCTCTTAGCAGCAACCGACCCTTAACCCTAAACCCTAACATGCAACGTGCTTCAGCAAATCAGTCCCGCCCAAACCCTCCATTTTCTCACGATGCCGATAGGTACGACAGGTCCGAGTCCTGTAACCACGGCGTCTTGTCGCCATGATGCCGGACGTCGTGTCGTCCCGCATAGTCCTGCGAAGATCAGCACCCCAACATGTTCAGGGTGGAGAGGGAGGGAGAAAAGTTCTACAGCTCAGGGTCTTGGCCGGGCCGGCCCCTGAGCCTCAACATGTTGGATGAGATCACGTCCCACCCTGCCTCCCAATGCAAAGCACTGGCATGTTACATTCACATATATGTTTCTTCCAACATGCAACGTGCTTCAGCAAATCAGTCCCGCCCAAACCCTCCATTTTCTCACGATGCCGATAGGTACGACAGGTCCGAGTCCTGTAACCACGGCGTCTTGTCGCCATGATGCCGGACGTCGTGTCGTCCCGCATAGTCCTGCGAAGATCAGCACCCCAACATGTTCCCTCTGCATGTTTTAACTTGCGGTGCTGTCTGAACTGGAGTCGCTGGAGCTACTGGGAAAACATCTGTCACACATGCGAGCCCCCTCGGGCAGGTTATCACATCTAACGAAGGCGTTGACTCCATGGGGCCATCCGCAAAGGGTCCTCCAAGTGTTCGGAGGGTGCAGGTATCCATCCACAGAAGCCTTGTGCCAGGTTTTCCGCCTGTCTGGGTTCTGAATGTAGGCGCTCGGAGCAGCAAGGAGCTGCCTCTTGAGCAAAGAAACCTCTTCTTGAGCCATCTTCCGCATGGGCCCCTTGATCCGCTCAGCGACGAACTCTGCCCTCTCCAGCTGGGAGGGCTTCGACGGGCACTGCTTCTTCACTTCTTCCAGTGCCTGCGCCAGTTCGTCCAACCTACTGTGTAGCTCTTGCTGGACTTTGTTGCGCACATAATCTCTGCTCATCTTCTTTAGAGGAGCAGATTTGGCATAGTGCACGAGCATCGCACTCTTCCATCGAGCCATGAGCTCGATCTGGTAAAGGTGCACCCCTTCGCTCGCCAACAGCACAGCTCCGCCGGTACGCATGGAATGTCCCCCCATCAGCTCATTGCCGTCGGAGTCCACAACAGTGATGCCAGCACGTCTATGCCATACCTTGAGCGTCGAGACCACCGCTTCTTTGGCAACAGTCTCACCTCTCACAGACGGAAAGAAAGGAAGCCCAGCCGGTAGAGCGCCATTCTCGTCACCGAACAGGTCCTTGAGGAACTCCATCTGTCGCACCGCTGCGTGAAAAGGACAGAGCCAAATTGTGTTGGCCTCACACAAGCAATGCCATTCCCTAGTGGTGGTCAAAGCCGTGCTGTCAGTCTTCGATGAAGGTAGTAGCCAGCACACCATCTTCAGAGCGAAGTCCAAAGTTATGCTGGAAGCAAGCGAGAGGCTGGACTCGATCTCGCGCAGCATAAAATAGACACCCAGAACCGCAAGATTCCACGGGCCAACAGGGCCATCTTCCACCAGCGGTTCCGGAGAGCTAAGCAGGTCAGAAGGCATTTCTGCCACGCGTTCCAGCTGTAGAGGTTCTGACTGACGACTGGGGCCCAAACCCCTTCGGACGCTGCGCTTAATCTGCCTGGCCTCCAGGTCAAGCAGAACGGGCCAGCTGCCAGTTAGCCTTATGTGCTGTTGCTTCGCCTTGGTCAGGTAGTTGGGAAAACTGCGGTAACCTCGGGCCTTGAACACAGCACCAACAGCCCGCAGCTTCTCCACACTCAAAGGGAAAGCAGGCTCTCCATCGGCTCCGAACCAACTCTCATGCACTGATTGCCAGGTCTTGAGCAAAGCCGCGTTGGGGCCCTTGGAGGATGCCGCCTCCATGTCTGAGACCAAACTTTCCAGCGCAGCTCTTTTCTCCTCCTCTGGGATTCTTCCCCCCGTCCACTTTTGAGCGCCCTTACTAAAACGTGTTATGGGCGCATCCGCCCGCTTCGCCCATTTGGGAGCAGGCTCCGGTCCAGCCAGACGGGCTAGCGTGGAGCTCTCTGACTCCCCGGTTCCAGCGGCAAGGGGGCCCTCACACTCCATTTCAGCAACTCGCTCATTAACCCTGGACAAGTCTACCCTAGGCAAGAACGGGACTGCCTTCTTTCTCCTCATCGAGCCAACCTGAGTCAGCGATTGCACACGCAGGCATGTCCAAACTTGCAAGACAGCACTCACCGAAAATCCCTGGATCGCACACAATCAGCAAGCACTCAGGAGACATGTCTGCCAATGCAACCAGCATGCTCAAAGGGAACATGTCAGCAAGTGAGTGCCAAGCCAGGGTCCTATTGCAACCTTACGCGAAAGGAGCGCAGGGCATCCCTGCTTGCAGCGCAAACACTCAAACCTAGCAGTCAACACAGCAGGCCCTAACCCTAACCCAGCATGCAAGGCCAAGCGTACGAAGTGAGTGTGTATCCTATACACCAACTGCACCAACCATGCCATTTGGGAACTGAAATGGAGGCGACCAGCCCACAGGCCGAATGTTTTGGCGGGAAGCGCCCATGCGCTAGCAGTCATGTGCTACCGAGCCGGTAGGAGCCGTCGGCCCCCATCTACTCCGCTGTGCTTGCGGCCGACTCGCATTGAAAGAAATTCTCATTTCGGATCGGAACTTTTGCTTCAGTGGCGTGCTTAAGAACTTCAGGCAACACGAAAGACTTTCCAGGCTGAAAGCGTCTGCTGAGCTTGTCGGAGACGACGTTGGAGACACCTGGGATGTGTTCGTGCCACCTAGGTCGGTAACTGCAACGACTGAAGTCCAGAGCCAACTCTCGAGCAATTCGGCCGAGACCTTTAGCTTTGGGTTTTGCCCTGAGCTTCATAAGGAGGCTAAGAGCAGAAACACTATCCGATCCAATGTGAAGTTCGACCCCGCGTCTGACCCAGTACGAGCGCCAGATGCGCAGAGCCACCAAAAGTGCCAGTGACTCCCACACCTGCTGGCCATCTGGCGACCCGAGCGCGGCATTGGCGAGCTGCAAGTCAAATCCGCAGAGCTCATCAGAAAAGTAGGCGATCGGCGTGTTATTCATCGCCAAATAGCCTCCAATGCCCCAAGGGGACGCATCTGTGACGATCCGTACCTTGATTGACTTGCCAAAGTAGTGACTGACGCGGTACTCACGCACCAGAGCGCCGGCTTCACCCTGATAGAAGGCGATTATCCACGCTGTAACGTGCGCCCACTGTCTAGTCCAGACGCAATTCGGAGGCCTTGCATCCGGACCACAGCTGTTTATAACAGCCCACAAGTCTGTCAGGAAGGGGCGCCATGTGTCAACGACGCCCGCCACGTAGTTCGCCTTCCCAACGTACTTTTGCAGGTCTCGGACGCTGACCACGTTGGTCCTTTGGTGAGCTAATGTGGCTTCAAGGATCTCCTCCATCAGCTCGGCTTTGCCAGTGACAGTAACTTTGCCGTCCTTGCCTGCCAAAATGCAATAGCGCACGCCTATCCAGGTAAAGTCGTTGCCCCGGGCGGCTTTGCCAAAGGCCAGCGGAATGCGAAGCGCCGACCACACAAACAGATAAGTATCGATGCCAGGCGATCGCGGCGGTTCCTATCTCCAGACATAAGAAAGCACGGATCATCAACATACAGCTGCAACCGCGCCTGATCAAGGAGGAACAGGGACTGACTCAGCCTGGCGATGTATGCGGCAATACGGCCGCATATGATGGGCGCATTTTTGCTGCCTTGAGTCTGTGTCGTGAACACAATAAAACGCAGAGGCCCACCAGCTTTCTCGCGAAAGGCGGTGGTGAAGAAGCGTCTCTCCGAATGCTGGAGTGGTACGGAGTAAAACCAATCCTTGAAGTCCAGTACCAAAGCTTCCACCTCTTCGCCCTCAGCTCGACTGAGGAGAAATAAGGCGTCATCCACCAAATCCGTGGGTCGCGGCAATTGCACTCTGCCGCCTTTCTGAGCCAGCAAGTTAGCTCCGGACTCGCGACAGTCCAGGATGAGTCGCCGCTTGTGGTGGTGCCATCGGGCCTCACTTTGGTCACCATGGCGAGCTTGGAAGTGAGCGGAGTCCCTCCCAGCCACTCCTGACATGCACTCAAGTCATCAAACGTCTTGACGTAGCCGGTGTCAATCAGCCGCTGAATCTCGACAAGTGCCATGGGATCATCCTCCACGGATTTATAGTTCTCATGGCCAGACGGATCATGGAAGTAGTCCACGCCGTCGCCAGACTCCGGCTCAGCGTCATTTTGCGGGAAGATGCCTGGGTCCTTGATGGGTGCATCGATGCCAGCCGGGGATCCCCCCTTTAGCCAAGTCTCGATGTACCCTGCGTCGGGGTCACCAGCTTTACGGCCCCACGCACCCAGCAAGCCGTAGTCCAGGCCACGTTCACGCATTCGCTCCCCCAGGCCGAAGAGATCCTCGAGCTCATGCACAATGGCCGCGACGTGGTCCTCACTGGGAACCTTGTTGGGATCCTTTGACCCAATGGCCTCGAGGCATTGTTGCTGCAGGTCAGGGTGGGAGTCCAAGTAGCGGTCCAACACCTTGAAGACGACTTTGCCCATTCGGTCATAACCTCGGATTGTCTCCATCGCCTTCTTCGGATGCCGCATGCCGCCTAAGCAAGCTTCAACGTCATCAGGGCTCGTCTGACCAGGATGGCCTCTAAGAGAAGGCGCCCAAGTCAGTTTGGGCGCGACGCCGTGGCGCCCATCGATCCCCCCAGTCTGCTCCTCACTGGTCTCCCTGACGAGCACGTTCTTCCACTTGCCCGCCAGCTTCCAAGTAGCAGTTCGAGGCGCAACACAGGAATGGGCGCCATTGAGCTTCCCAGCCAGGTAGTCATTGAGACCGCCAGGGTACGACGCCGCCGCCTTAGTGAGATAAGGCGCGCATCGAAATTTAGCCCCTTTTGCATCTTCCGAAAGCAGCATGGCAGGCCGCCATTGATCCGCTGGGATGTAGGCCTCCTTTCCTTTCAGCGGCGGGTGAGCCGCCATCTTCCAAGCTCCCGAGCTGGGAAGTCGCCACCACCGTTTTGGATGTTGGCACTCGGCGACTGCATCGGCCAAGCCGACCTTGAAATGGACTAGGGAGGTGGGTTTCTCTGATGATGCCCCATAGTTGCACTGTGCCAGCCTGACATGTCGAACACCTTCCAGCGCAAGGAGGCGCTTAAACTCGGGCAAGTCAAGCATGCTAATCCCATCACTGTTGTCAGGGCGCAGCGGCTGCTCCAGAATGACCGGCTTGTCCAGCTCATAAAAGCACATGAAGATATCAGCTGCCCTTAATGCAAGAAGAGTGCCCAGCCTGACGTCCTCCTTCTCTTCCGGCGTGAGTCCGGATCGACCATAGATATCTCGATCGCCAGGCAGCCGTAGTGGTCGAGGCCCGCCATCGTCCTCCTTGCGAGCATTTGAGAATGTATGGCACGGTGGCCCCAGCATCCCGCCATCGAACTCGCCCTGAATGACCCGGGACCTCAGCTTGCGATAGGCGGCATCATCCGCCAGGTCGAAGTCATCGCCATTCTCGATGTCCCAATCCTCGCAATCACAGCCAAGTAACCTGAGCGCGGAAGCCAATCCGTCAGAGCGACCAGCTGGACCACTGAACATATGCAGAAAACGAGGCCTCCCGGGTCTAGCACTTGCACAGCCCACGTCAGCGGATGCCATGCAAGTTTCGCATGCTCGGGCCATCTCTGCGACCCCTTTTGCAGCACAGGCCTCCGAAGGCGCCTCTTTCAATGTCCTCCCCGGACACTTCATTTGGGCGCCTCGACCTGCGCCACTGCGGGGGGAGACCTCTCCCCCCTCTCACGCCCTGCTCTTTCCAGCGCCCTTGCGCCCCCCCTTCGGCTTGAAGGTGCGGGGATGCTTCGGGGCACTCTGAGGGCACGACTGTGCCCCATGCTCTTCGGACAAACATTTTGCGCATTGATGGCGCGTCCGCCCATTCTTTGCACAGAAACCGCTGCGATCCTTCTCCACGCACTCTCCTTTCTGAAAGCCACGGCACAATTCAGCGCCTCGGCGGTTATGAGTCAAGAGGCCATCCTCGCCAACCACGTGCTGGCGAACATTGTCCTCGCGCTTGCGCTTGGCGGTGGTTGCGGAGGATGGGATGGTTCTGTCAGTGCCGGCATTCCCTGAGGTCTCTACCGCAGCGTCAGCACCCAGCACATGCGCCATCCTTTGCGTCTTGGCTAAAATGAGCAAAGCAGGTTCTTCGAGCTCTTTATGCCAAAACGATTGGTCCTTCACTAGCATCTTCCAGACGTATTCCCATGGTGTGGCAGGGTTGAACTCGTGAGTTCCTCCCGCAGCGATGGCGGCATCCATTTCCTCTTTTCCTTGGCGTCTTAGACGCTCGGCCAACTCCAATCTAGCCCGCACATCGGCTTGATAGAGCAGTGCCCAGCAGCTTCTGCCGTAACGTTCGTGATAAGACCGAATGTGATGCTCATAGCTGTCCAGTCTTGCAGGGGAGATTTGGCCGAACATGATGCATCCCGTCCTGAAGACACTGTAGCTCTCCCGCCATGCCTCGAAATCGGCAGGGCCCTGTATCTCCACCGGAATGATCTCACCCTGAGCGTTCAGCCGGATGCCTTTGAGCCTTATCTTCTTGGCCAAGCGGTGATGATAAGGTCCCCACACAGCCATGTCAGTGTAGGGCGCCCTCCCACTCTGGAACAAAGTGTGCAGAGTGGTGAGCTGCTCGGAGCTCAGCTCCTGATCCGGGGGCGGCGCTGCCCCAATCTTCTTGGTGTAGCGGGCGTAGGCATCAGTGATTGCTTGATCGTCCAGGATGTCGACTTCCATGTCATCAGTCTGGTTTATCACAGCATTGAGCTTGACCTTCCTTTTGGGAGCGGCCGACACTGTCACAGCAGCAGCAGCTGGCGAAGCGGACGGTTGCGTGACATTCAAACCCACAACGACTCTGCATGTCCTGCCAACTAACGCGCCTTGTCCAGACTGACGAGGGGTGGGATCCTGCTGTGTAACTGCCCCTCCTGAAACCACTGGCACCTTCCACTTCTCCAAAATTTTAGAGAAATCGTCTTCGGATATCATAGCAAACACACGCGGATGATCACTCCCATCCGAGCCCAGCAGAGAACTCAAAGAGCCGGCCTGGGTGTCCTTGTCTGCAGGATCACCGGCCAAACCAGTGAATTTAATCACATCGGCCAGCGTCTTGAATGATGGCCAGTCGGCCTGCGGAGGATCAATAGTCATTGATTCGAACCCTGAGGCCCGAAGGCAGCACTACAGACTGGGCTTGATGGAGTGAATGCGATCGCCGCAGCTTGCCAAAGCACAACCGAATGCTTAGATAGCCAGTCCAGCAGCAGCCAATGTGAAAAACTCAGGAGGCAGTAGCTCGCCAGCAGAACATCTCCACGCAGTCAGCGCAGACGACATGCACCCTCGAAAGAAAAGTTCTACAGCTCAGGGTCTTGGCCGGGCCGGCCCCTGAGCCTCAACATGTTGGATGAGATCACGTCCCACCCTGCCTCCCAATGCAAAGCACTGGCATGTTACATTCACATATATGTTTCTTCCGAACCCTGAACCCTAAACCCGAAACCCTGAACCCTAACATCTACATTGTAGGGTTGAGGCTTTTGCTGGGAAACTTACGGTGCGGTTTAGGCTGCCTTCTAGCCCACATTGAAATCCGAGGTCTGTTGCCCTCCCTCTTGCACGGACCCTGTTTTGGATGGGCTGGCTGTTCTGAATTAAGGCTTTGTAGTACTCCAGACCGTCCAAACATGTGCAAATTGAAAGCGGTGTTCATGCAGGGAAGCATCGGACATCGGAATTTAGGTCGTCGCGTTGAGCTGCTGGGTCAGCCCGGTTGAATTGATGCGCTAGCAGGCTGTCCACAAGGACTTCGCAACCGAGGCCCCTGGTAGGACAGCTCTAGCGACGTAACTGTTTCATAACCTTTCTTCAGGCTTCTCATGCGGTCAACTACCCATGCCCTTCCGCGCGAGCGAAAAGCACATGTCAAACCAAACAACCCAAACATCCCTAAACCCTGAACCCTAACCCCTAAATCCTGTGACGACGGAAGCCAGGACTTGCTTAGTGAAAACACACACACACACAAAAAAAAAAAAAAAAACAAACAATAACAGAAAGTGTCAAACTGGGGATGCTAGGTTACTGTAGGTTACTAAAGTAAAGTTATAAAGGCTTTTAGGCATGTTTAGGCAGAATACAGGGTGGGGCCCCCTAGTTATAAGTAGAGTTATAAGGGCCCTAAATTGGGTTATAAGGACCCTAAGTTAGGTTATAAGTCCCTTAACTACAGTTAGTATAGTCAGGGGGCCCCACCCTGTAGGTGAGTGAAGTAGAACAACCAACCAGCAAGGCCCGCCGCCTGGGCTCGTCGGTAAGCAGCTTTTGCGTTCCGTGGGTTTCCTGAGTCCGCGCTTTCTGATGTACTTACTTCTCCAATAACCACGGGAAAAAAAGGTTCAACTTTGTTTTTCCTACAAAAAAAGGAAGCCCTAACAGTTTAAGTTCAACTTTTGGCTAAGTAAGTGTACTGGTTCTCAGGAAGGCGCTCTAGAGAGACAAGTGCTACGAAACCATTAAAGCGAAGAACTAGTGAGGTACGAAACTGTTGTTGACCTGTTTGCTAACTCCTTGTGGCATCGAAGGCCTAAACCCTCCACCCCCAGGGCACGAGTCATTTTGCAAAAGCGCGACCTTTTTTCAACCCAAAACTCCCACCCTAAACCCGAAAGCCCGAACCCCAAACCCTCCCGAAGCACCCCCAAAACCCTCGGCGCTACCCAACCACAGAACCCTGAACCCTGAACCCACAACCAGCGCCCCACAAAACCCCGAACCCCGAACCCTAAACCCTGAACCCCCCCAAAAGCGCCCCAAAGAACCCTGAACCCTCGCGCCCTAAGCCTAAACCCACCTTAAAGGGCTCAAAGAAACCCTAAACCCTAAACCCTAAACCCTAAACCCTAAACCCTATGCGGAGCTGCAACTGGTATTGTAGAAAAGAGTTAGTGTTGAGAGTTGGAAGGGTTAATGAACCCGGATAACATGTTTGGCTCAAGATGGGCTTGAACAGAAAGCCACAAGTTCAAAAAGTAGTGCCTGGGTTCTTAGGGTTTGGTAAGGGTGTGGATTCCTTCCCCCTTTCCTTCCCCCCTGGGTTGCTCTTATCCGTGTTCTCGTTTGTTTCTTGGTTCGATCTGGGGAATATAGGTTCAGGGCGATTAGGGGAGTTGGTTTCCTTCCCTGGTTGTCCCCCCGTAGGTTATGAGCCCAAATTAGGTTCCCTGCGGTTAAGTGTTCTTTCAAGGTTTTTGGGATTAAGAAGCAATGCCTTCTCCCAAACGATGGCTCCAGCCTTCCTCGGATGGTGGACAGAATGGTGGAGCTGGAAACGGTGCAGCTGAGTCTCTGGGTGAAAGGACGGTGCTGGAAGAGGTGATGCCTGGCGCTGAAGAACATCTGGAAGAAGCCTTGGTTGCAGAATACTCCAATGTGGGTATAAATCCCAATGTGGATATGGTTAGCAATGCTGAAGCTGAAGGACGTGCTGTTTCTGTATCGCCAAAGCCTGGTGAAAAAAGGAGCTGGGACGCGACTGGTGGTATAGACCGTGAAATGGAGGTGACTGTTTTACGCGTGTTGCACAAACATGGGTACCAGCCGTCTACTTCGACTTCGGGCCGAATGATTGACCAAGGGTCTCAGACCAATCTGAGTGGAGAAGTGCTGCAAGCTGCCAGGAGGCCTCTGAACAAGATTAAAGGGGATCCCTCGGCGAGTTCCCTGGGTGGTGGAAGCGGTTACGAACAGAAGGGTGCGGACAGCTTTGAAGCCGCGCCAACTGCTGAATATGCCATGGGGGAAGAGGAGATCTTACAGATGGAGGCTGAAAGGTTGCGCCAGTTGTCAGAAGAAGAGGATGAGATGCGTCAAGTCTCTGAAAGGGATGGTTTTCGGAAAGATGAGCATCTGATCGAAGCGTGCGATGGGACAACGTGGGAATGGCACTTCCACGAAGATGGGAGACAGTATTACTACTGCCTGGATACGCAGGAAAGCAAGTGGACGCTGCCGGATGTAGGGGAAAAGGTGAAAAGCGACAACGTGGTTGGGTCTCCTTCGGGCAATGGGCTGGAAGTGGAGACTGAACTGGGTCCTTCATCGACTACACCGACATCTGAGTCTACGAAGGCAATCCAGGGTAGTGTAAATAGTGTAGGTGAAAAAGATTTTTCCTCTACTATCAGGGATAGCGGTCCTAGGGCTGGTGGTGACGCCCCGACCTCGGGTTCTCCTGATGAAGAGGGGATTTCTGGAAACCGAGCAGACATCGCTGAAGCTCAACATCTGGATCGGGAAGAGATGGAGGCGCTTTCTGAGGGTGTGGCAGCGGTGGAATCGGTGGGTCCAGAAGAAAAAATGCCCAATGTGGAGATCGGAATTGTGTCGGCTGCAGAAGAGCGAGTGGTGGATGTGGTGCCTGTCGTTCAGGAAGATGGCCCTGGAGATTTGGATGACGAAGGGAAAAAGTTGTGCATTACGACTGAGGAGGTCTCTTCGTTTGGTGCCGAGAATTCTGCCATTCAAAGGGAAAAGGAAACTTCTGAAACTGCTGGAGACACGGGTGATCGGAAAGATGAGGCCTGGAGCGCCAATGAAGCGCGGGTCAACGCGCCAGATAGTACCTGGAGTGCAGAAAAAGCACGGGTTGAGGCGCATATGGTGTCACGTTCCGCGGATGACTGCAACAATGGGGCGCAGGTCTCTGTAGCAGCTGACGATGGAGGTTCACAGGTGGACGCACTGGTGCAGCCTGAAGTTAGCAGCGAGGAACGAAATGGCGAAGGCTACACCGGAGCCAATGAGGCAGCTGTGGTCAGCAACAATGGTGATTCTCTTTTGGAAACCATGGAGCCAAAGGAGCCTGCGGTGGAAGAAAATGTGCCTACCGCGGATGACCAATCCAATAGCCCTGTAGTGGAAGAAAATTTGCCTGCTGCAGAAGGTTTGAAAAAGGACTCCAATGGTGGGTCCACTCCCAGGAAGGGAGAGGTGTTGCCATCTGAAAGCTCGCCGGAAGTCGACACCGAGCGAACTGTAACGGATGAGGCAAAGCCATTGGCTGGAAAAAAGGAAGATCCTGAGCCCTTGGAGCACAAGATGGATGATCTTGTGGGACTCACGTCGGAGCAGGACGAGCAGTGTGACCCAAAGGTGGAAATAAAGGATGTGTCAGGAGCCGATGATACGGAGATGGTTTCTGAAGGGCATGCAAAGAGAGTGCCTCGAGCGGGAGCTTTGGAATCACCTGGGGAACATTGCTATCAGGAGGGAGATGAGATCATTGGTCTAGTGCGCTGCATCAATGGGTATGGAGCCTTTTTGGACCATGGTGATATGAATGTATTGGTTCCTGCAGAAGGGAACAATGTACATCAGTTCAAATTTGGTGATACTGTCAATGGAACAGTGAAACGAGTGGAAGATGATGGTACCATAATCTTGGACACCTTTCTGGTTTTGGAAGAGGACGAGGAGGATTCCTCTTCAACGCTGCGCAAATGGAAGGACAGCGGCTGGGGTACATGGTGGACAGGCTCATGGCAGACTGGTCAATGGTACAAAGGTTCCGATGGTCAATGGGACTGGAAGTCGGAAGAACAGCAGTCTCGCGAGTGGTTTGCCGAGTCAAAAGCATCCTCTAAGGAACAAGAGGAGGCTGAGCAGAAACAGCTCTATGGAGAAAAGATCTATCAAAATCTCCTGGAAGATGAAACAATAGATAATGACTATGTGGGCAAAATCACGGGGATGTTGCTGAGTCGTCCAATGGACGTGATTGTGGAGTGTATCGCAGATCATGCATTCCTGAACATTGAGGCTCGGAGCGCATACAACATCTTGCTAAGTGATGGTTGGAAGCCTGAGGAGACAGAACGTGCAGGTTTGGGAGAAACAACCACTTTTTCCCGGAAGCAGTACCGCAACGCGCTCTACGAACTGGCACGCAAGAAAAGGAGATTTAGTGGACCAGTCGTGGGTGAAACGGTGGCAATGTTGCTGAGCAAAGGGAAAGATGAGCTTTGGAACGAGCTGTGGTTGGATACCAAGCGATTTCTGCAAGAGCTTGATGGTGCAATCGAGGAGATGAGTAAGAGGGAAAACAGGCCAATGGAAGCCTACATGGATCCTGATCAGTACAAAAAGGCTCA